AAGCAGATCGCCAGCTGAGTAACCTCTGTACCTTTCTCTGTACCTCACAGGGTTTTTGTGGGGATCAAAGGAGACAATGAGCGTGAAAGCTGTTTGTGGTCTGCTTCCTAGTTTTTCAAATGTTATTTCTGAATTAAATGAGATCATTAAAAAAGTAAAAACCCGAATTTGGTTATCTTTTATACTTGCAGACATGTCATCTTTATGTTATCACTTAAAGGCTTGCCTTCGGGTTTGCAAATGCCTCTTTGAATGTGCCTTTTGCATCTTTAATTAAACCATAAAGGTACTTTGCCCTGCATTGCCCAATGTCCATTACTCAAGGCCTAATTTGATAAATTACTCTAATTCCAGGAAAACATTGTTCCCACATGACAATACGCTCCCTTTATGCTGTCAGGAAATAGGAGCATAAAGCTCTCTTTGGCATTGGCTGTCAGGAAATTCAATCGAGTGTTCAGTGGAGCACAACGCCATAGTTTGGGAGCACCCACACCCTTGGCAGCTCCCAGTGCTCCTTGCCTTCACGGGTTGGGTTACTCACCCTTCTTTGCAAGTATAAGTGACAGTGTTCCCAAAAGTGAAGTTACTCCCGGTGATGACAGCATCTTTGATGGCAGGCGGCTCCCCACAGAAGACAAGATGACAGGTAGGTGGCGCTCTGTCCCAGCTGCCTGACGCTGAGCATCCAATGATGGAAGGGCCCTGTAAGCTACAGGAAAGGACACCAGCTACAATATTTCATTGGCTATTTATTTACTTCTATGGAGATTGAAATAGGAAGGACTTAGAAGAGACGAGGGGACACTTGAAGAATATGAATACATAAATATACAGTTTCTTCATATTTTATTGCTTTATGTAAAAGCAAGGGAAACCTGAGCAGGCCACAGGCCCCCTGAAACCATAAATGAGCTAAACCAACATACCGACTCGGTGCAAAATAAAATGTTGTCAGTGGTAGTGTTATAGGGCACTCCAGACCTTGTGAGTGGGTTACATGGATGGGAAGGGGTTAACAGGCTGGCTAGGAACCAGTGGAAAGGGAGATAGACACCCAGGAAAACTGAGACACTCAGAATAACTGAGGACACAGGGCACTGTCCTTGCCATGAGCTTGGGATCTGAACTGTGCTGCTCATGGCTTTGACCTCTGGTCTTCCTTTGATTTCACTAACCTCGCATCCTGTGGCTTATCCACCTTCGCTTGCCAACCCAATTCTGATTGCCTGTGTTACTCACTCCCCTTTCTGTGCACTTGATCTGTTTCACTTCAGATCCTGTTGGTCAAGTCAAGTGTCTGATCGCAGCCTTTCTCTATTGTCCCTTCTGTTTGAACACACACACACGTGCGTGCAGACAGACAGACACAGACACACACACACACACACACACACACACTACAGTATTAAGGTCCCAGTCCCTTACCTTGACATGCTTTATATAACATCCCATGCAGTGCTGAGTATAAGCTTGGTAAGGTGTTTACCGAAAAATGCAGGCACTGTCTTCTGCTTCACAACACTTTTTCTTCCATGGTTAATATCTAAATGTTGATAGCAATTGAACTAGAGCTCCCAGAGTCAAGGTTAGATGGAATATTTCCCTGGACATTTGCTCTAAGCTAGGTCTCAGGAAGCATACACATTTCAGAATATCTTTTCCATTTAGAAACTTATGCAAATGAAACCTAATGAATAAATAATGACTAATGGTATTGTAGGAAGCTAGGCTGGTGTCTATGGACTTTACCTGTATCCATTCTCACAGGAATATGATGCAGTAGAAAGGTAGGTAAGCCCACTCAGAATATATTTCCCATGTTTTATGGTTTCGGGGCTTGAACACTTGACCAGTTCACACACGGGAGGAGAATGACTCCAAGAACCGCTAGCAAGACAGGAGGATTCTTTATTANTTATTAACCCTTCTTGTTTTAGAAGAAAAACCTAAAAAGAGGCTTAAGAGAGTGGCATACTAGATATTAAAAGAGCTGCAATTCAATAAGAGCAACAGAAAGTATTTTTACTTTCTGCACCAGTAAATAACTGTTTTCAATGAAAAACAATGATCAAAGCTTTATCTTAGCATATTCAGGAATTGGCATTTAAAGGTCTGTATTGGAGAAGAATAAAAAGGGAGACATTCTATCAGGATTTTGAGGTGTCAGTGACCCTTCTTTCCCTCTGAGTTTCTTACTGAGAAGAACGTGCACACAAGGATGAAAAGGAAAATGGGAAAGAAGTGATAATTTTGTTAATCTGGGCAAACAGCTGAAATGTGCAATTTTTTGGATAAAAGTTGAATTTGAAAAGCCACGTTTAGGGCAGGAGGCAGAAAGGACACTTCTTGCTCCTTTCCTTCCTTGCCGTTCGTCTTACTACTCCAGTCTCCTACAGTATCTGTTCTTCTATCCTAAACTTGAGAGTGGACCTTTCCCCCTTCATTCAAGGAAAGGCCCACCCAAAACACAACACCAACATAAGAAAGAAGAACAGGTGAGACAGAAGCAAGAACGTGTGTATGCACATGCAATGAGCAGGCCTGGGTAGCTCACAGAGCGTGCAGGGCAGTGGCCTGTGTCAGGCAGCCCCATGGGACAAAAGGGACGTTCAGAGGGCTGCGGAGGAAAATAGGCCCTAACCATCTGAAATTTGGCACACACTAAAAACAAACTATAAAGGAAACAATTGATAAATATCAAGTACTATCTAGCAATGTTAAAAATATGCATATCCCATGACCCAACAACTCCAGCTCTTGGCGTCTTGGCTAGAAAAGAAATAGTCTTACTTATATGTCAGGAGACATGTGCAAGGACAACTTACTTCAGCAAATAAAGTGAAAATAAATCAACCCTCTACCAGTAGGGAAATCGGCAACTCAGAGATAGTTCATTCTCACAAGGAAATACTAGACAGCAGCTAAAATGAATGCTGTTGATTTATATGCATCAATAGAGATAAATGTAAAAAACATAATGTTAAGTAAAAATCAAGCTTCAGAAAGATAGAATACAAAGCAACATATACAAAAATTAGAACGTATATCAAGAGAATATTTGTTTACGGGGATACCCATATGGGATAAAGACAAAAATGCACATTTGTTACTTTGGGGAGGTGAGTGAGGAAGTGATGAGAATGGCTTCTAGTTACACCTGTAATATTGTATTTCTTTTATGAATAGAGAGCTACAGTAACTGTGGTAAATATTTAACACGCACTTTTATCCTANCTTATTCCATTTGCCAGATTTCTGGCATGTCCAAGAATTATCACCAATAAGCTCATAACCCTCATTACAGAAAAACAGAACCTTGGACCCTACTTCAAAATGTTCTCCTTTCATGTAGCCATTCTGGATTGGAGGAGGTTTTCCACAGTTGAGAGGGATGCATGACAGAGGGGATTCACTGTGCCAGTGGCGATTGGCTTGGCAGACAAATACAGGATTTCCAGCTGACTCATATCCTGGGTTACACCGATATCTCACTTCACTCTCAAAGATCCTGCCAGTGATATGCTGCAGAACAGGGAGAAAACAGTTAAGTACAATTTGCATAACAGAGAATATAACTGAACACACTGAATGGCAAAAACAAACTAAACTAAAATTTCTACTTTAAAGTGAATTAACTAAGATATAAGCAAATAAGGATTTATGTTTTTTTTAATAGGTCCACTCTATTTGTTTTTAGTAAGTGAAAAGGACAGTAGGAAGTCAAATTAGATAATCTCTACTGCAGAAATGTTTACCACAGTGCTTAGCCCATAAATAAAAGGTTAATTGTCTTTTGATTGATTGATTATAAATTGATTGAATTGATAGAGCAATACTAAAAATTATAAATGACTTTGTAAGTTAAAAAAATCGTGTTGACCAAAACAATACTATAGTTTCTTGTTTTAATCACAGAAAAAGAAATACAGTAATATACATTTATTTGTTAATTGTGTTGGATTATAAAAAAAGCCAAAAAAATATTTTTCATGGATATG